AAAGGGATCTTTTACGTGCACGCCAATGTGTACACCGGACCTCAGTTTTTCGTCCCATCCGAACGACTAGACAGCTGTCCTTGTCACGCCCTCCGTCCTGCATCAATGACAAGGGGAAACCATGCCGGAAAATCTGGATGGACTTTAATGTCCAATGCAGGGATCGAACACACGCCTCCAGTAATAATTGTGATGGTCTTGATATGGGGGATAATAGCCGTCAAAGATGTGATGGAAAGGATGCTCACGAATATAATTTAGATATTGATAATGTTCTTAGTACTGTGGTTAATATGTAGGGTACTAGCCGTCCAAATTTTGATTTGAAATCTAATATATACTCTGATATAAGTGACAATGACGCAAGCCAATTCACAAAATTCGAACTCAACCGTCATTATGGTGTAACGGTGATGTATTTGAACGGTTTTTAAAATTGAATAAAAATTGTGACCTGTGAAAGATCCACGAGCTAAACCAATAATCCAGGAAGTTATCGTCCGATATACACCATTGTAGCAAAGAATCAAGATCCTTGGGTTATAAACATACATGTTCAGTTTCATCAAAATGGGATAAAAATTGTGGACTCTAGAGTGTACAATCAGAGGCCATAATCCATGAAATTACGGTCCCATACAAACCAATATCAAAAGAAACCTCTCACTGGGATATAAACCTATATTTCAAGTTATGACCTGGAGAGTGTCCAAACGGACGTCCGGACGGACATAGGTGACGTCAATCAAGTGCCGATCAGTGACATACAACAAGTAGGGTGACCCACCATAAATAAATATCTCCATATATCTCGACAATTTCGCCACAATATTTATATATATGCCAAGCCTCAAATCAGTTTCACACAATTATAGTCACTAAATAAACGATCATGTTGTACTTAATAAGCTATGACCATTAATCATCTATAAATAATAGACTGAAAACTGGTTCCATGTGTCGTCCATAACATCCAGACACTCTTGAGTAAAAAATAGGTTACGTGCCCTTGTTTTGAAATTAGTCTCGCTTAACCAGTCTATCGACCATTCAAGGGCTGATTGACAGGTCGGGATAATCAAGACTACTTTTTTACGAAACATAACAGAAAGCTAGAACAAGAAATTGAATTTAGACATGAGCACGTTAGCTAGCTCAACAATTGTTTTAAGAAGCTTGTAAAAGTAAAATGAAACTACTGCTAGTATCATGTTCCTGTCTAACCCGAGTGCTTCAGAGATATTATTTGTACTAAACCAAAAGATGCTGCTCTGAACGGTACAGTTAATGATAAAGCGATTTAAAAAATGAAACGAACGTAATTTCTAAATCTGCTGTAATAACCAAGAAGCTTAATTTTACTGCTATTCAAAATCGTCAACAATAAATTTTTTACGGCTGTAATAGTTGATAGATTTGTAGAGAATTGCACGTGCCATGGCTATTTATAGTATCATACTGTCAGAAAGTTGGCCTCGACACGGCGAATGTGCACGCTTCAGTGGTAGTCTCGAACTATCAGCGGTTGACTGTATTTCTGTAGGTGCATGGGCCACCCTACAACAAGCGGATAAAGGGGAATTTTTCATGTAGGAAAGAAATCAAAATTCGCGGACATATGGAAACAATAAATTCTACAACTGGACAAATATGTGAAATCCAACATTCGGTCATGTGACATTTTGATAACTATGAAGTTTTAAAGTAATTTCAATTTCATGTACTGTAATTTAATTTGTTCAGAGAATAAATTATCCCAAAATACAAGTTCATTTTTCAGATAAGTGTCTATTATTGGTTAAACTGCCCTTTATTGTCCCCCGCCTTTCGAAGAAAGCAGGGGACTATTAAAATGGGTTCGTCCGTCTGTCTGTCCGTCTGTCTGTCCGTCTGTCTGTCCGTCACACTTTTTGGGACACAATAACTCTCTTCCTAATTGAGCTAGAATGTTCAAACTTGGTGTATGTGTTTATTAGGTCAATGCCTTGATGGAGTTCGAAGATATGAGCATTTTCCGCTTAGGGTAAGCAGAGATAAGCAATTTGATTGGTTGATGCTTTGGGACACGATAACTCTCTTCCTAATTGGGCTAGAATGTTCAAACTTGGTGTATGTGTTGATTAGGTCAATGCCTTGATGGAGTTCGAAGATGAGCATTTTCCGCTTAGGGTAAGCAGAGATAAGCAATTTGATTGGTTGATGCTTTGGGACACGATAACTTTTAATTGAGCTAGAATGTTCAAACTTGGTGTATGTGTTTATTAGGTCAATGCCTTGATGGAGTTCGAAGATGAGCATTTTCCGCTTAGGGTAAGCAGAGATAAGCAATTTGATTGGTTGATACTTTGGGGCACGATAACTCTCTTCCTAATTGAGCTAGAATGTTCAAACTTGGTGTATGTGTTGATTAGGTCAATGCCTTGATGGAGTTCGAAGATGAGCATTTTCCGCTTAGGGTAAGCAGAGATAAGCAATTTGATTGGTTGATGCTTTGGGACACGATAACTTTAGTTCTAATTAAGTGAGATTGATGAAACTTGGTGTATAGTTTCATTACAGTAATACCTTGACTAAGTTTGATAATGAGCATTTTCTGCTCAGGGTAAGCAGAGCGATACGCAATTTGATTGGTCGAGACTTTGGAAAACAATAACTCTCCTACTTTGATTGTTAGACTATAAGTAAAGATATACTGTTTGATTGTTCAATACTTTGTAAAAGATAATTTGTGATAAATTTATATGTGTCCTCTAATTATTTTCCTATTTCGGCGGGGGACATCAGCCTCACTGTTGGCTTGTTTTCAATAAATAATGGACAGTTTCATAAATAATAGATGATTTTTTAAGAAAAGTGTACATTCTCCAATACTGGTTAAAAACATCAAAGGGTGACGTCATATTTATGTTTTAATTACATTTATTTGATATAATTAAACATGCACTTTGGTAAAGTATTATGTTAGTTGGATGGCAGGTTGTAGCACACAGAGTATGCTGAAGATCATAAGGCCTGTTCTCTATGCAATCCATGGGCTTGATTTTATGCTTGTATGTGGGTTTAGATACTTTGGTTTCTTCCTACTTTTAAAGCCTCCTGCATTTTCGAAATGATATATATACACACACACACAGTGAACTCTGTCAAATCCGACATCATACGGGATCGTTACAATATGTCGGATTACGCAGACTTTCGGAATACTCAGTTTTCTCAAAAGTGGAAGTATTATTGTAACTTCGAAAACCGGTAGTATTATTATAATGTAGCTTCGAATCCCCAGAACGTTATTCCCTTTAAAAATGATAAACCTTTCTGTACATTCAAAATTTTATTACATTGATTGTCCCCCGCCTTTCAAAGAAAGCAGGGGACTATTTAAATGGGTTTGTTCGTCTGTCCATCCATCTGTCTGTCTGTCTGTCTGTCACACTTTTTGGGACACAATAACTCTCTTTCTAATTGAGCTAGATTGTTAAAACTTGGTGTAGGTGTTTATTAGGTCAATACCTTGATGGAGTTTGAAGATGAACATTTTCCGCTTAGGTTAAGCGGAGATAAGCAATTTGATTGGTTGATGCTTTGGGACACGATAACTTTAGTTCTAATTAAGTGAGAGTGATGAAACTTAGCGTATAGTTTCACTACATCAATACCTTGACTAAGTTCCATAATGAGCATTTTCTGCTCGGGGTAAGCAGAGCGATAAACAATTTGATTGGCCAAGATTTTGGAACACAATAACTCTCTTTCTAATTGAGCTAGAATGTTCAAACTTGATGTAGATGTTTATTGGGTCAATGCCTTGATGGAGTTCAAAGCATTTTCTGCTTAGGGTATGCAGAGATAAGCAATTTGATTGGTTGATGCTTAGGGACACAATAACTTTAGTTCTAATTAAGTGAGAGTTAGGACACTTGGTGTATAGCTTTATTACATCAATACCTTGACTAAGTTCGATAATGTACATTTTCTGCTGATGGTAAGCAGAGCAATAAGCAATTTGATTGGCCGAGACTTTGGAACACAATAACTCTCCTTCTAATTGAGGGGGGTTGGATGGCTGAATGGTTAGCGTTCGCGCGCTGTATCATAAAGTCTGTCATTGAGTCGACTGGCGTGGTTTCGAATCCCTGGTTGTACGTGACAAGGAGTAGGGTCGCCTGTCCAACCTCGTGGGTTTTCTCCGGGTCCTCCGGTTTCCTCCCACTGCTAAAGACCCCTATGCGCAAGCGAATTATTGAAATAAAATTAAACCATATGTTAGTCCCGAAATAACTTAGTTTGTGTCGAGTGGACGTTCTCTCTCTCTCTCCCTTCTAATTGAAGTAGAATGTTCAAACTTGGTGTAGGCGTTCATTAGGTGAATCCCTTGATGGAGTTCGATGATGAACATTGTCTGCTTACGGTAGGCAGAGATAAGCAATCTCTTCATCGTCTTCAGTTGATCGTACACTTGTCTTTGGTGTCACGTGTCATTCCATGTCCAGGTCGTCACACAGTTCGGATAGATCCGTAGGGTGACGAAACTTAGGTATTCAGGTTCAATCGGCATGCGCAACGAATGTTTCCAACAGGTGCTAGGAATATTTTTACGACTGTGAATAATTCGTGGAAATTTCATGGGTATTCTTGAGTATTTGTCACAACTGTCTTACAAGAGATTATAAAATTATCAAAGTAATCAACAAAAACCTATGTGAGCGAGTTTTAATCTCGCCGATAATTGATTGGTGATTGCTCGTTAATCTTTCGTGGCTTTACACCCACAGATTGAAGGCCAGATTATACAGTGTTGATTCAATGGAAATCATGTGGCTGATTGATGTCGTAATTCGGAATATTCAGATTATGATTTATATTTATATGTTGGCATGAATAAATACTTTTCTCTTGCTAAAGAACCAAATGTTTCTCATTTTTATCAGCTGGTTTGTGGATAATTTTGAAAGTCTTTATATTTAATAAATGATGCTCAATGGAATATTTTTATTTTTCAGGCAACGAATTTGCATAAATTCAAGGTGCATTCCTATGGCAGTCCAACATTTTGTGATCATTGTGGATCTTTATTGTATGGGTTATTACATCAAGGGCTGAAATGTGATGGTAAGCTAACATTATTGCCATTATTTGGAGTTCAAAAATCGTGTTATTTTAACTTTTATACACATATAATTATATCCATGAATATAGGTTGGAACATTTGTAAAATACGACATTTCTTGCGATACTGAACGGGAATCACATGGCTAAGTGGGAACGACGCTGGCTCACTAGCCTGGAGGTCTTGTGTTCGATCGCTGCATTGGCCGAGAAAGTTCGCCCCGTTTTTTTCGGCGTGGTTTCCCCTTGTAAGTGATGCAGGACGGAGGGCCTGACAAGGACAGCTGTCTAGTTGTTCAGATGGGACGAAAAACCGAGATCCCGTGTACACATTGGCGTGCACATAAAAGATCCCTTGGCAGTTGGAATTCGATATAAGAGTAGGCCGTAGCGCCGCTGCCCGGGCAAAATTTCCCTCATAGCACACTGTATGGCGTATGCCCGTCTTCATTAGCCCAGGTTAGGAGCAGAACAGTAGGACGTTAAACCCCATTTCATTTCATTTCATTTCATTTCCTATACTCAACATCGACTTATACAATACATGAAAAACAGTAGGTCACAAAAAGGAAAGATACATTGTACCGTAGTATAATTAATGTGTGTTGTGCATGAGACAGAGTATGCTTACTGTTTCTGAATACCTTGGAGCTTCTGTCGACTCAACATGTTCCAGTGATAAAATCCACAAACTGGGTACTAGTGAATTGCTATTTTTGTATTCATGGATGTTGAATTTGATTGCCCTTTTGTACGGATAGAACATTGTATGCAAACACCCAACAAAGATGTCCAAAACAATAATAAATTATTAAATTCTTATACGTAGAGTAATTGCCATTAACTAGAGGATTTTACATAGAACCAAATATACAATATCAAATAGCCTATATGTAATTATTAATTGTCAAGTCATTTCCCAAGATCTCATAAAACTTTGACAAAAGTGAAGAAATTTATGACTATTATGTCAATCAGAAAAATACACTGTCCTATGATAAATTTTACTTGATTAATATATACAAAACTATACCGAGACGAAATGAAATGAAATGGGGTTTAACGTCCTACTGTTCTGCTCTGAACTGGGCTAATGAACACGGGCATACGCCATACGGGCTTAGTCTTGTATCGAATTCCAACTGTTAAGAGATCTTTTACGTGCACGCCAATGTGTACATGTGTCACGATTTGGCACCTGACCAATTGCCACTCGTGCAAACTACCCCCCAGCTGCGTCTTCAAAATCATAAAGAAAACGAAATGGCATTAATAGTATAATTTAATACTTTATATATTTATATCAGATCAGTAAAACAATCAATTTTCAGAGTTCAGTATGTCCATAGGTCACTTCCGGTGGGAATCAAACCATCAATTCACAAAAACATTATTCGTCCAACGAAAACATTAAACATAGGCCTGCAATACCTATTCTGATTTAAGTTATTCGTAAAACATTTAAACACCGCACAGTTCTCCACAACACAGTTGAGATAATTATAGGCCTGTGGATCCTATTCTGTGATCATCTCAAACGTTCTGTTCACGATATCAGCTACGGCTAAACTTGGCCCCAACGCCGCTCCATATCAAACGTTGCCCAACAATAATCTACACACATAAAAGTTTCACCTACTGGGCGTAATCAAACGTGGCCCAGTTCCAATGTACCTCTGATTTAATTAAACATGGTCCGATATTCACTACAGTTATGTATTCAAAGAAGAAAGGTTAAATTGGCCCCCTCCTACATAATCGATCCGATTCGGCCTGAACGAACCTTACTAAAAGACTGACTGACTGACTGACTGACTCTGATGTGCCATCCACATCTGCTTATATAGCCATATTGTGCACATGCTGCATGCCTCAGATGCAGTTGACAATCAAGATGAGTTTGGGGGATACAGCTTAGACAATTAAAATTGAGTTTGGGGGATCAAACTCAGACAAATAGGATGTGAACATAAATATTTATAAATTCGGATGTAAAAGAAAAAATATGATATTTGATTGTGACAATACCTCCCTTCCATAGAAAAATATATTTTTTAAAAAATATGTTTTCAAAATACACAATCATTATAAATAGACATCATAACCTTAAATATCAAATTATTGTGACCTACTCAAATAATCAGCACCAATATTCTCACTTCCTTTGATGGCACAAATCCGAAATCTAAAGGGTTGCAACAAAAGTGCCCATCTCATAAGTCTTGCGTTAGCAACTTTAGTTTTATTTAAATACAGTAGAGGTTGGTGATCTGTTTCTAAAATAAATTCTCGTCCGTATAAGTAACGCTCAAATTTTCTTACAGCCCAGATAATCGCTAGGCATTCTTTTTCTATTACGGAGTAAGCACACTCTCTTGGTAATAATTTTCTACTTGCGTAGGCTATCGGGTGTTTTTCCTCATTTTCTACTTGTAACAAGACTGCTCCCAGCCCTATATCAGAAGCATCAGTTCTCAAAATAAACGTTTTTTCCAAATCTGGCAGTTTCAAAATTGGGTCATTGATAAGCACCGTTTTAAGTGTTGTGAAGGCTTTTTCTTGTGGTTCTTCCCACTTCACTTTATTAGACTGTCCTTTCTTGGTAAGGTCGGTAAGCGGCGCGGCTATGGCTGCAAAATTAGCTACGAACTTCCGGTAATACCCTGCTAACCCCAAAAAGGCACGAACTTGCTTCTTTGTTTGTGGTCTATTCGCTAGTTTGATGGCATTTAATTTATCAGGATTCGGGCGTAATCTCTGCTCCCCGACTATATGCCCAAGACACTCTAAACTTTGAAACCCCATAAAACATTTTGTAGGTCTTGCCGTAATATTGGCCTTCCGTAGTCTATCAAGAAGATCGCGTAAAATTTGTACGTGTTCTGACCAGGTTTCCGTATAAATCAACAGATCATCTATAAAATTGTCAATATTCGTCATTCCTGCTAGTAGTTTCCGTATCATTCGGTTAAAAACGGCGGAACTCGTTACTAGCCCGAACGGCATGACTGTAAATTGGTATAGACCCTGGGAAGTAGAAAACGCGTTTTTTTGTCGTGCCTCCGTCTTAAGTGGTATCTGCCAGTATCCTTTGCTGAGATCTATCTTGGTAAAATAATGGTAGCCAGATAATTTTGAAAACATGTCATCCGCACTCGACATTGGCTCGGCATCAAAAATTGTAACTTTGTTGAGTTGACGGTAATCAATACAAAATCTATTGCTTCCGTCTTTTTTCTTGATTATAACAACAGGTGATGAATATGGCGATTCAGATTTCTCGATTACCCCGGCTTTCAACATCTTATTGGTCTCGTCGTTAACGACTTCAGTCATGTAATAAGGCATCGGAAATTGTTTAACTCTAATTGGTTCTTCTGTTTTAGTGTGTATATCCAGTTCCAGTAAATTAGTACGTCCAGGTTTATCAGTAATTCTGTCCGCAAATTCTTTTAACAAATTACTTATCTCGTTCTTTTGCTCGGGTGTAAGGTCGTTGTTGATGTTAACATCACTGTAAGTCTCACCCATGGTAGTAGTTGGTATTTCCGGTAATTCTACAGCGTCCCCATCTTCATCTAAATCGATAATCGATACACATACCGATGACAATAAATCTGTACAGGTTTGGTCTTTAGAGTTCCTTTCTACAAACCGTTTCAACATATTGGCATGAAATATCTTAGATTTACCCTTCATTAGGATTCTGTAATCAAGTAGACCTATCTTTTTCTCCACAGAAAAAGGTCCTTGCCACTGCATCAATAGCTTATTATGATTGGTTGGTAGTAGTACTAATACTTTGTCACCTGCTTCCAATGCTTTTGGTTTAGCCTTTTTATTATAATACTTTCTATATTTGGCCGACATTTCCTTCAAATTTTCTTGAGCTAAATTACAAGTTTCTTCCATCTTGTTTCGAAGGTCTAGAACATATTGGTAGGTAGTTTTAACATCGGGTTGTTCCTCTTCGTTAACCCACAATTCTTTTAATATTGACATTGGTCCCCTCACTGACCTTCCATACAAAAGTTTGAATGGCGAAAAACCGGTACTTTCTTGTGGTACTTCTCTGTACGCGAATAAAACTGCATTAATATACTTATCCCAATCTCTGGGCTTCTCCATACACATCTTCTTTAACATCTGCTTTAAAGTGCCGTTAAATTTCTCCACTAATCCATTACATATTGGATGGTACGGTGTAGTCGTTAGCTGACGCAATGACAATAACCTGCTAATCTCCGACATCAAATCCGACGTGAACTGTTTACCCATGTCACTCAACATTTCCTTAGGAACCCCAACACGACTAAATACATCTATTAATGCTTCTGCAACTCTTTCGGTCTCTATGGTACGTAATGGTATAGCTTCAGGATATCTGGTAGCGTAATCTATTATGGTAAGTATGTATCTGTACCCACTATCAGTTACTGAATGTATTGGACCAACTAAATCCACGGCAATTCGTTTAAAGGGTTCGTCAATCAATGGCATTTGACCAAGTGGTGACTTAAACACTTTACCTTTACTGACAGTTCGCTGGCAAGCGTCACAGGATCTACAAAACCGGCTAATATCAGATTGAATACCTGGCCAATAAAATTCAGATAAAATTCTATCAGTTGTTTTTCTAGTTCCTAGATGACCAGCCATTAATGATTCATGAGCTAACCGCATAATATCGTTTCTAAACTCTTTTGGCACGATTAACTGTGTAACATCTCTTCTACCTAGGTGCGTATATTGTCGAAATAAAAATCCTTTATTGTAGAACAAAGTTGAACTCGCTCCAGATTTTGTTGTTTTGGTGTCATTACAATCAGCCAGTTCACGTAAGCGTTGCAGTGTGACATCATTACGCTGCATGAGTTTAATGTCTTCGGGTTTCACCACATCGCGAATACTTTTAGGGACTATAAGAGGAGGATATGGCTTATCTTTCTTTAATGTCTGTGATCTGGTTTCAACCGCTTGGATTGGTTTCCAGTCCAACTTTG